GAGGAGAGATACGGAATTCGTTTGGGGCTTAAATAACAGTGTTGCCACGTTTTGGTTTTGAATATGGTAACTTCCATCCTCTGCATTACACAATGAACTTAATTATAAAAGACGTACGATGTTTTAACTTTTAGCTATTTTATTTTGTTTCGTGAATTTACTCAATAAAATCTTTAGTGTTTCTAGAACTAATCAATCTATGACAATATAAATAAACTTATTATACTATCAAAGAATCACAACTGAACCAATTTTTTAAAAAATCACAAGAGTGGAGTTAAAACTTCTCCAATTAACTTGTTTTCACACCACCCATGAGGTAAAGTTATCGGTGCGTTTTATTTTTATGTGGTGTCCCCAATAGGCCTAATCCACAATGCAATATTCATTCAGAGTCTATTGTCTATTCAGAGATTGTATTATTATAAGAGTAATTAGTTTTTTTCACAACACCATCATATTATGTTGCTTGTTCCACATGTCCACTTTGAACTGCATTTTCTCTCCTTTGAAATATACATACTCATTTCATCACGGAATTTTGCGAAAATGTCAGAAAAAGATATCATAGAAGTCATTTCTCTGAAAAAACATTGAAACACACAAATTGGATATTACTTTATAGACTTATTAAATCAAATCCTCATCGCTGTCATCGGTGACTGTGTCTGAGAATATATCTTCGCTATCAGAATCTTCACCTAAATTAATAATACATGATTCTATGGCAGCATCAAATGATGGCTCCTTTGAAATGAAATCATCCTCAATAGTTTTCACTTTGTCTACAATTTTTTTCCATTCTTCTGCGGAAAATACTTCAAAAAACTCATCCGACAATTTTTGAATAGAATTAAAAGTGAAATCTACATTTCGTGTTCCAACATAATTTTTTAGTGCTGCCCAAACAAGCTCTATCGGGTTTAAATCTGGATGATATGGTGGGAGCCTTAATACGTCATGTCCGTTATTTCTAATAATGGAATCAACAGCAAATTTAACATATTTAGGTTTATGTAATTTTATAATGGCATATAAATCTGGTCTGAGCATGTTAGCAGGAAAAGGAATATTTCTAGCTTTTAGCCAATCTATCATTTTACTCTTTGTTGATGCGGATGTTGGTGCTTTATCCTCTTGAGTATTATGATAAGGTGCATTATCCATTACGATGACACTGTTGGGAGGCAGATTTCTCAACAATTTTTCTTCTAACCACTTTTTGTAGTTGACAAAATTCATATCATCATGATAATCACCCGATTTTGTTTGGGACTTCCATCTCACATAAGAGTCACCGACAAAACCTGCTTCGTTCCCTGCACCCACAATGATTAAACGTTGGCCCTTAGAAACAGGTTTTTTAAGCCCACTGTTCGTTTCATCAGTCCAACTATTACTGCGACTATGACTTGACAGTAAATACGTTTCATCGGTAAACACAATAAATCTTTTTTCGTTTCTAAATTGTTTAATCTGTCTTAAATACTGTAATCGTAGGTGTCTTATATCATGTTTTTCTATCAAAAGCTTTCGATTATTTTCTGTTTTTTTCCAACGAAATCCGAGATTCCTAATTTCCAAACGCATACTATCCTTACCTCCTTTATAATCAAATTCTTCAACAAATCTCTTATGAATTTTATTTACAGTTGGAACTTGTTTTTCAGTTATATGAAAATTAATAATTTGCCGACGTAACAGACCTTGTTCAACTGTGTCTAATTTTATTTTTGAAGATTTTTTCCGCCTCTTATTAGGAGTGACAAAACCGGATATATTTCCTGCTGCAATTTCCCGGCCCTCCTTCGCAATATTTTTGATGCTACATATAGAAACTCCTGAAAATGCAACCAAAAATCTCAGATTATTTACCATTCTTTTTATTAGATTATTTACCAAATCACCTGTCATACTGGCCACACGCTCTTGTACTTTTTTAAAGTCAATAATACATTTATCAGCAGCTGCTTCTCGTTGAGCGAATTTTAACACAGAGTGTATTATTTCACGAGCTTGAGCATTCAAAATCTTTCGCTTCACTTTACACTGTTGATTCATTTTTATATTAAATGAACAATTATAATATTCAAAATCACTATTAATAAAAAATATTAAAAATTTAGATTTGACACCAAACTTGTCAACGTCGCGAATCGCTTCTATAGTAAAACTATCCACGTATACAGCTAAGCGGTTCTCGATCAACTGAGCTCTCGGTACAATATTTGAAATCTGCTAGCGCGCGACGTCTACTCCTATATCAGTCGTGTACTTCGTAATATAGGTAAATGAAAATGAATGGATTACTGACGTCAAAATGGGCGGGATTTTAAAAACATTTCCAAACATTTCTAATTTGTCTATATTTGTTCCATAAGAAGTTGGAAATTTTATTATTATTTTTAATTATTTGAAGAATAAATAAGGACTTTTGGTTATGAACATTCATTCTGTGCGTTTGGTATTATTTGTTCTTCGTGAATTTGAGAAGTAAGAATATCAAATGATTAAGATATTTACTATGAATGTTCATATTTTAAGGTTACGTTATGGTTTGATTAAAACTTAAATGATTTTTTTACTGTATTTCAAGGTATTTTAGAATAGAATTTAAGAAATCTGTTTTTTTCAAAACTTCATCGGGGCTTTGTTTATAAAGATTAGAAAATATTTAAGTATAAAATAGGTATGTTATTGAAAACGATAACTATAATACATTAATATTTAAGTTACCCATCATTTCATAACCTTTTCTACAAATAATAATAAGAGAAAAGTAAAATCTTGCACAATAAACATTGATTTAAAATTTTTTTTATTTATTTTTTTTTATTTGAAACTTCTTCAACCACGAGTGTTATAGCAATGGTCGATTTTACAGATACCATAAATATAAAAAAAATAAAGAATACGATTAGATTTTGTTCATTAGTCCTGAGGAAACAAAAAAAAAGTATGGTACGATTGCGGTCACTATTTTCACTTAGAATGTATTTTATTGTTGTAGGTAACTGTTCATATTGTCTTTCAAATGCGCATAAAGGACACTTCACTAATAAGTGATGTACTGTTAGATCACTATCACACGCGTATCACAAAGGTTTGGGTTACTTCTGTAGTAGGAAATCATGCGTGATCTTGGTGTGTCCTAATCGTAGTCTGGACATGAAGTTTTTAAGATTGTGACATTGAATAATATAATTAAAAATAGTTTAATTAATAAGTCTCCGCAGATGAATCGCTTAGGATCATCGGTAGAAGTATTACTTAAACCTTGTTCTGTAATTTTGTTTTTAATTCTAGAACAACGGGATTTAAGATAATACTCGTATCTTAGACTTAACATATGATGTATTTTCTTTAGAAACTCTATCAATCCTTTGATATCCTCCGAGTAAGTTTTGGCGAGAGAGAACTGGAGACGTTTGGAGGAGGCCTATATCCAACAATGGATGTGAAAATGGGGCTGGATGATGAAGTTTTGGCGACACTGAGAAAATCTGAAGAACCATGCGCATTTTCAAAGAAGTCAATAATACTGTGTTAAGTATCCATTGTTGGAGTTTTCTTTAAAGAATTGACTGGTGCATTTGGTAAGATCTTCTACTAAGTTTCTGTTGTTTTCTTGTTGAGTTTTTGATTTTTTGCCTTGTGGCTTTGGTTCAGTGAAGGCATTTTCGTTATCTCTTATTGGGGTGGGTGGGGGATATTATTTCAGATACGTTTTGTTTAGGGTGCTGGGATGAGAATATATCTGGATCAAAGGTATCCATTTGAATCTCATTGGGTAGGTCGCAGCTTATCGGAGTATCCTTATTGATTGAGAGGTAATGATTTTTCTAGACGTTTCAGTTTCAGTAAGAGAGGATTTTGTAAAGGAATTTATCGACAAAGGAGCCGATTCTTGTACTGTAGTTTCAGTCTCAGTAGCCATATTGCTATTCGATGGAAAAGAAAATTCGATAGTTGTTATCCTCATAGTTAATTAACATAGAATCAGGTAATTGGTCCTAAGTTAGTTGGCGCTATAAAAGTGTACCGTCGGAAACTCAAGATAATAATTGAATGCTGGATTTGAAGTCTCTATCCTTAGAAAGTCAATTGGAGTTATTAGATATATACTTAAGTTTTTTCAGTTGTTCTTCCTATAACGCTGTGCGGAATACTTGGACATACGTTGGAAAAATCAATCGTTTCATTTGGAGTTATTAGTCTTCTTTGGAGTTATAGGCTTATTAGTTTGCTAAAAACTTATCGACTGTCTGTTCACTGGTAAAGAAGATACAAATACGATCATTTATAATTTTAGAAATAGAATATATTTTTTCTGGGATCCACTTAGAAGTTTACTGTATTAAGATAATCTTCGATATTAGAGTTTGGCAGAGAGTAAAGTAGAATTGCTTGTTTTTTGTTTGGAAATTTATTTGTAGGTTGATTAAGAGCTGTAGAATATAATTTTTGATCGTTGGTTTACAAGTAGATTGCCAGAACTTTCCATGGTGGAAGTTCCTGCTGCTGAATCCATTTCCCATGCTTGGGCTAAATAACCTAAATAGGGCCCTGGTGCTTATAATGGAGTCATTACCGGAATGGACGTAATTAACCTCACGCCAATATCGTCAAAATATGTTGTGTTTCCTTGATTTGTTGAAATAGGAAAATCAAACTTACAGTTTTTTAGGTCCAGAAGAAACTAACACTTTTACACTGCACATTTTGTTTTAAATTTTAGATATAAAGAAAATTCTACATTTAAACCAAAAATTTCCCTTATTTTGTCCAAACTTAACAAGCTAATATTAAATATCAATTATCGCTAATTGCTGATATGTTTACTATTCGGAGGTTCGATCGAGAATCCCCATTGATTTTAAATTGTTTAAACAAATTACTTGGTTAAATAAACAATTCGCAAATTAACTAATTCCATTTAAAGTACACCTGTTATTACAAACAAAACAATTTAGTCAATTTGAGTACCATTTTAATTTCAGGTAGCATGCAAGCATCCCACGCAGAATATAACTCTGCATTCCAAACACTTGGACATCAAAGATGAAGACGTTATCTTGAAAGACATAACAAGTAATGACTCTAAGACAGTTAAAATATCAAACGTTGAATTTAAAGAAGAGTTCGAGTTTTTAATTTTAAGTTTAGAAGAAAATTTGAAAACCGATCACAAATATGAAATTTATATTGGGTTTTGCTGGTAAAATGGACGACGGACTTGCAGGTAAGTCTTTGTTTTGTCAGTGTTTTCTATTCATATGACAATGTCTTGCTTTGGTCTATGTTGATGCTCTACGTGGCAGTATTTCCTCCATTTATGCTACAGCTTTGTCCCATGTGCCAATGGGGTATTCTGTTCGCAGTGTGGTGAATGAATTTGACTCCACTGGTTCAGTAAATAATTAACCAGCCTCCATACCTCCAGTTACAAAAACATGGTTGCTTTTCGTGAGAAATGCGCAGGATACCGTGAGACAGTCAATTTAATATAGCTCAATAATATCTCCGTCCATCATAGTCTACAACTTGGAGAATTTTGCACAGGACTACTTTGGCCTACATCCGACAAAATTCGACTGACCCGGGAACTCAAGAAAAAACGACCATATATAACGACGTGTTGTCGCTGAATGAGCTCTGGAGCAGTTGGAAGCTGTCACTACTTTTCATCTAAAACTCATTTTTAGCAATGAGGCCCATTTTTTGGACGAATGGGTATAACAACAAACATAATTTGGGACGACGACAATCCAGATGAGATGCAAAAGTGTCCAATACATCCCAGAACCAGTTACCATTTGGGGCAGCCACATGTCCCTATTGTTTTCCAGTGTCTCCCTCTAGCTTAAATGATTTTTTGTCAAATTCTCCGTTCAATAAACTGTCAAGTGTTTTTTACTTTTTGATGTCCGAACGAATCGTTCTGAGGATCTGCGTCTGACCTGTTTTTTTGCCACTTTTCATATAGTGTTCTACCATTTTTTAACTTTGTTTGACTACAATCAAATCTCTTTATTCTCAAACTTCTTTCTGAATAGTAACTATTTTTCTCCAAATTGTATTGGGAATTCCTTTCATGTTTTAACTAATTTTTTCTACTATTTTTGCTCTAAATAGACCTTCTTTCTCATCTTCAAACATGCATCATTTGATTTTTCGTGGTTTCTCTCCAATATTTTGCTTTAGATTCGCTCTTTTACTTCGATGTCCAGCAAAAGCAATTTATGTTGCTTACTGTCTCACGAAGCATTACCTTACAAATCTCACATTCATGTATATTTTGATTTCCTCTTGCCCATAATGATAAATATTGACGCAATTTTTTTTGCTATTTTTAGGATTTTATAGAAGCAGTTACTACGACAAGAAAGACCGGGAAAAGAAATGGTTAGGCGTTACACAATTTGAGCCCATTTCTGCAAGAATGGCATTCCCATGTTTCGATGAACCTGAGATGAAAGCTACCTTTGACATAAGTATCGGAAGAAAAGAAGGCTACAAAGCGATCAGTAATATGCCCTGCTCAGGACTGAACCATTGTAAGTCTAAAAATATATGTTTGATGTACAAATTTTATGAAATAAAACGTTCTTTAAATAAGTAATATCAACATACATTGAATCTACACTCAAATCGAACAGCAAAAGATTCAATGCTTTGGATGTTCAATTAGAAAATGCTTGATCAGTATTTTAAAAAAATTAAAAAACCTTTTGATTAGTGTACCATTGGTGGAAAAAACACTGTTGCTAATAATTATTTCGTTTATTAAACCTACAAGTCGACTATTTCTGTTTTTAGGAAAGAAAAAGACGGCTGGTTTGGGATCGCTTCGACACCTCAGTACCAATGTCGACATATCTAGTCGCTTGGGTTGTATCAGACTTTGACTATAGAACTGGAAAATTGGTAGAAAACAACAACGTTACCTTCAGGATCTGGGCTAGAAAGGATGCCGTAAATCAATAGTAACGAAAATATTCACATACATTATTGAAAAAATGTTATATTCCTCTTTTATTTTAGGTAGATTTTGCTACAGAGGTCGGACCAAAATGTTTGGAGTACTATGAGAAATTCTTCGATATTGAATATCCTCTACCAAAACAAGACATGATTTCTATCCCTGATTTTAGTGCTGGCGCTATGGAAAACTGGGGATTGATCACTTACAGGGAGAGCTACTTGCTTTATGATCCTAAGGTAATATTATTCAATCAACGTAATTTGTTGATCTTATTATATGTTCTAATTATTTTCTTCGAATTCTTATGGTACTCCAAGTATTTCTGCAAGTCAGTTGTTATATACCTGATGCTTAAAATAATGTTATTTGTGTAGGTATCTTCAAAAACAAGTCAAAATAGAGTCGCTAGCGTCATAGCCCACGAATTGGCCCATCAATGGTTCGGAAACTTGGTTACGATGAAATGGTGGACAGATCTGTGGTTAAACGAAGGTTTTGCAACATACATGGCCAGCTTGGGCTCTTGAAGATCTATTTTCCACAATGGAATTCTCTAGAGGAAGAAGATGCTGATAATATATTGGACGTTTTCTCTTTTGATGCACTAAGAACTTCTCATCCGGTAAAGTACGGGGGTCACACAGTGAAAAAAAAACATTTGATCGTATTAAAATTTTATATTTACTATCATCGGTAATGTTCTGCTTGATTCTCCGTCCCTTAATCTTTTTTTCCTGGGCTTCCTCCAATTTTGTCTTCATTGGTGTGCTTGTAAGAGTTTTCCTTATTGTTGCTTGTTATGAGATTTTCTTTTAATTTCTGGTTTAACTGTTTTCGCTATTAATGGAGCAAAAACGAAAAAGGAATTTTGCCTTAGATATAGAAGGCTGAACATTTGTATTGTTCATATGCAGTATTTGTACCACTTTATTGTTTGTGGGGGAATCGTGCGCACTAATGCGCACTATTACCCCTTTACGCATTAAATTGAAAACGGTCATCACAAACGGACAACTACTGAACAATATAAAACCAACAGATGCACCAAAATGAACGGAAAACAACATGATTTAAATCAATAATAAGTTTAAAGCAACTGAATAAAGAATACTGACATACCGTCTTAATTTTTGGAACAGAAAAACTGAAAGAAATTGTTGCAATTTTCTGAATCGAATCTCACTTAGTCCACTTGTAACGGTCGACTGAAAGATGACGGCGTCAACCGTTCACTAGATCGGTCGAAAGGTGTAGGACTGATTGAGTTCGTAAAAGCTTCCACGGAATTTGAAATATAATGCAGCGCACAATTACCCGTCGCGCACCATTACCCTACTTTTCCTTAGATATGTTTAAATAGCCTGATAATATACAATCTCCAATATAGAGAGAAATATAAAGAAGATAAGAGAAGAAAAAATTGATTATTTTAGATAAATTATTAGAATTAAAATATAATTTACCTGAAGTGATTATAAATTAGCCAAAAGATAAATATGCATTAAAAGGTATCGTGGCTAAGCAATACTAAAAAAATGGTGCCATATTAGTCTAAAATCTTTATAGCACAAGCATTACACAAGTTATCAAGAAAATAATTTGTTGTGCTTTCTGAATTATTGATTTTCTCTCCTGTAACATTTTATCTGGGATCTCTGTTTGGGTCTTTTAAATTACTTATTAGGTCATAGTTTTTATGTAAAATTTACAATATTTTATATTTTTTATAGGTATCAGTACCAATCGGAATCCCAAAGAAATCGATGAAATTTTCGACACAATTTCCTACAAAAAAGGATCGTCCCTAATAAGAATGATGACTCTCTTCCTAGGAGAAGAGATATTGAGAAAGGGAGGTCCGCAACTACCTCAAAAAACACACAAAATACGGTAATGCTGAACAGGATGACTTATGGGAGGCTTTAACTAAGGAGGCTCATAGTCAAGACGTGCTTCCTAAAAATTTAACCGTTAAACTTATCATGGACACGTGGACCGTGCAAACGGGTTATCCGGTTATTAATGTAATGAGGGATTATTCCAAGAAATCTGCTTCAATTTCTCAGGTATGTACAACTTGTATTTTATCCTATTATTTTGACAATTTATTGTATTCTTTTAAACGTAAAATTTTTCTCCATACAACTACAATATATAAATGAAATTGTATTTATAGCATCGCCATCTTAGAGATATAATATACCCAAAAGACGCTTCCAAACCATGTTGGTGGGTACCTTTAAGTTATTCAACTAAATCAAACCCCAATTTTAATTCTACAACCCCAAAACATTGGCTTTCTTGTCCAGAACATAGTCAAACAATAGAAGATTTGGGCGATGAGAAAAACGATTGGGTAATTTTCAACAACAAAATGGCAGGTGAGTTGTCAATTAAGTCACATGAATTATGTTTAATGAAAAACTACGAATACAGTACATTCAACCAACTTACACATCTAAACAAACTAATGGAATTTCGCAATTAATGGATACGATAAACGGCACTGGGAGTTTTCTATAATCTTTTAATTGCTTACTTTGTTTAGAATATTTTTGCCTGTATATTTCAGTTTTAGAGTTAATTTGTATAAAATGGGGAGCCAAAAAATTCAAAATGGAATTTTTAAATATTATTGTTTATTTGGCTAATAATGAATGTATAAATAAAATGGTTTAACCTGCTGTACAATTATTTTATAAAAAACATTATAATAGTGTACTTACTGTTTATTTCAATTTATAAATCATTATCACCGTCACTAAATTAAACTACCACTATCATTATGTAAATCTATAATCACTGGATTAATTTCACTAATTTTATTTTTACTCTTTTACTAGAGCAACTAGAATTGCAGTTTTAAGAGCTTCTTGCTACATTTCCCTTACTGCATCGTCACTATATCCACTGCATCCAACGTGATTATCATAATACGTTTTACATATACCCCAGATGTGTTCGATGGGATTAAACTGGCAGTAAATACGCCGGTAATAGAGATTAAAATAGCATTGGTGACAGCACACATCCTTGTCTAACTCCTTATTTAATTTGAATTTCAATTTGTTTTGTACTAATTTTCGATGCGTGCAACTGCCTTCTGATTATAATACAGAGTAGATATTATTCTAATATATCTCTATTTTAGAGATAAGATCTCTAAAAGTTAGTCATGCTTGACGTTATTCAAAAGGCCTTGTTGTAATCAATGAAATTAAGCAAATACTTCCTGATTCACATCCAACCACCTCTGTGTCCAAGATGTTAAAGGCAAATAATGCTTCGCGAGTTCCATTTTCCACCCGAATCCCCACTGAGTTTCTCCGATATCTTCTTCCAATTTTCTGTAAATTCTATTGTGAATTATGAATTTATTATATTGTGAATTATTGGTTTTTCATTACCTTTCGAAATTTCCAGTAACTCTGATTTGAAGGCGTATTCCGGAAAATTGATATTATTTTTAACTAACCAATTTTTATGATCGGTAAATTCTTTAGTTTACGGATATGTTTAAGTAATATATTATTAATTTAGTGGTATAAGTTAACAAGATATTTTTTAAGTATTTTATATTAGTTTTAGTGATATAAGTTAAAAAGTGGACAAGATAAGAAATGAGTCCCAGTAAACGAGCAATTTTTTATAGATTACCTAAATAAAAATATTTTTGTTTAATTTTTTACTAGGCTAATATCAGTTTTCTCTAACAGATAAATAGCTTCTTAAGATCATTTTCAAGCTATAACTGCGAAATTGTTTACTTGTTTATATCAACAAATTGTAATTATTTTTGATAATAATATTTTTTAGTTATTTTAAATTTATTATCATCATCATCATCACTGGCTCGACAACCCTTTTTGGGTCTTGGCCTGTTTCAAGGATTCCTTCTCCATTCCTGAACCTGTTTCGTGCTTTTTTTTCAGTTTTTAATTTTTAATGTTGTTATATCATTTTCTATTTGTTCTACGTATCTCAGCTTTCGGTCCTTCCTCTTGTTCTTTTTCCTACTGGCACTTGTTTGAATATTTTGTTTGGTATTTCGCCTTCTTCCATTTCTTTCCCACATGTCCAATCCAACGTAGCCTTCCTATTTTAATGAAATGTTATGATGTCCGGATTCTGGTATATGTTGTATAGTTCAAAGTTATACCTTCTCCGCCAAATCCCGTTTTCTTTTGTGCCCTTATATTATGTGTCGCAAGATTTTTCTTTCAAAGGTGGGCTAATAACGTTTCCTCCCCTTTTAGAGAGTGTCCAGGTTTCTGAACCGTAATGTGAGTACCGGTCTTATTAAGGTTTTGTATATTTGGCATTTTGTTTTTCTGGAGATGTTATCTGATCTTAGTTGCCTAATTAAGCCATGGTAACATTTTATTGGCAATAAATATTCTTCCTCTTCACTTCCTCTGCAACGTTGTTATCAGACTTAACTAGGGATCCTAAGTATGTAAAGTTTTTTACCGCCTCAATGTTTGTATTCTCCTATTGTTAAAATTTGGCAGCTGCTTATTTTGTGCGTTTTTATTTGCAGGCATATATTTTGTTTTTGTCTGATTGATTTTAAGACCACTATTTTTTTGCAGCTCCTATCTATTTGAGTGAATGCCTCTATCATTTCTCTTCTTGATCTATGCGATATGTCAAATATCATCTGCAAATGCTAGTACTTGCACGCTTTTATTAATTATATTTTCCTCGGGTATTAACTGTGGTCCTCTTATAATTTTCCAAGTATGATGTTTGTAAATTTATTAATAAACAAACACCGATTTTTTTTGCAGTCACGTTTTCCACAAATTCCTTACTCAATACTATATTTAGCTTAAGACATATAAATTAAAATGGTGATAATTCCTTTTTAAAAACATTATCACAATAATCAATCAAAAAAGGTATTCCCGACAAAACTAATTCATGGAGAATAATGCATTTGTTGCATTAAACTATCCGTTCGGCCGGCGCCACTGAGTAAAGATGGGTCTGGCGTAAGTAGTGTAGAAAAGTAAGTGATAATACCCATGTGAAATTGCAGTGTACTTTTAAATTGTTAAACATTGTGGAGAACACCAGTACAGTTTACCATGCCTTTTATTACAACGAAAGGTATGTAGGTACTGTATTTTTATCACTACACTTAACACATACTATAATTTATTATTATCCATTTGTATCCGCTGCAGCATTTATGTCTTTAAACATTTCCAAGAGGAAAATGTAGAGGACTGACACTTTTAGTAAAATAATTTAGATTTCTTTTTTCAGGAATATACAAGGTAAATTACGACGAGAGAAACTGGAACATGATCACGAAGTTCTTACAAGGTCCCGATTTTCAAACAATTCCAACTTTAAACAGAGTTCAGATAATTAGCGATGCTGCAGACTTAGCTTATATTGGAAATCTCAAATACGAGATATTTTTCGAGTTGTTAAAGTATCTTAAACAAGAAACTGAGTATATGCCTTGGAAAGCTGCTATAGATAAGACTGACGTCATTACCAAACATTTGAAGAAGTCTGCATCGTATGGAAAATACAAGGTAGGGTCACAGAATAATAAACAATCAGAATGTCCACTCTCAGATGCCGCCTTTGAAGTTTTTCAGCACGCGCGCCATGTTTTAGAAGGAAACACGGACATATGATTTGTGAGGTTATGTAATTGTTTATATTCAATTACGTCATTGTTTATATTTATGTTTAATTCTATTATATTTATGTTATTATATTTAACAATGTTAATATAATTGTATAGTATATCTATGATTGCCGTAAGTCAATTAAACCGGGTTAATTTTGTCTATACACACCACATAAACACTGGTTCCCTCTAAAACTGCGCGAAGGAGATGCGCGTACTTAATTTTCCATGGAGAGTGGGCGTTTTGATTTGTTTTATCAGTATCTAGATATATTTTCTGTAACTATTTTATTTTGGCATGTTTTTTATTTTGACGCTTTGATTTCTAATGTAGAAATTGTTAAAAAAAAAACCTAAAATAAAATTGTGAGAAATTGATTTGACCTGTAGATATTATTAAATAGATATATTTTATTAAATGTTTAATAACCATTATATTGTTGCCTCATTATATCCATTCATTATATTTTTTCATTGCAGGAGTACATGAGACACTTGTTAACACCCATATATGAAAAATTCGGAGGATTCGAAGTGACCACTGACCCCGAAAAATTAGATTATATCAAACTGCAAGCTTTGATAGTCAGTAGATCCTGCGCATTTGAAGTAGCAAATTGTGTAACACAAGCAAAAACTCTGTTTAATAAACTTAAAGGAAAACAATCTGATAATGTGTAAGTAAAAAATGAATATGTACTCGGTAAGAAATCTTCTTTGGCTTCTTCATAAAGACATTCTTTTTTCTGTCTGTTTTTCAATGTGTCTGCAGTATATTATGGTTCCAGCGTTTCCGCAGTAAGTTTGTGTTTATTGTCATTGATACTGATGTTTTTGTTCCCCTATATCGTATAATTCAGACCTACAGCGACCCTGTTTGCTCTATCCACTTGTTTTTCCACTTCTGTCTCAAGCTTTCTGTGGGTTGGTAGAATGATATTTGAATTCCATAAACTGTGTTATTATTTATCATTCAGATCTCCAGTAGCTCACTTTGCTCTATTCATTTGTTCCTCCACTTCTGTTTCAAACTTTTCGTGGGTTGGTAGAGTGGTATTTGAACTTTATTTTCTATTATTTTTTCCTCTGCCTAGAATTTACACCAAAATCCAACGTAGAAGAATGTGTGGTAGGAAGATACAGGAGCGGCCTTGCCTATTTGACATTTGGATGTAAAGTTATGACGTTTTAAATTAGAATGGCGCACTTTTTACGCCTACTTAAGGGTTAAGTTGTTTTCTTCCCATGAGACATGAGTTATTTGATTTTTTTTTGTGTTAATAATTTTATCCATATCAAGTTAAATAGAAGTGGACTCAAATAATTGCCTTGTCTTACCACAGTGCCAACCTTTTATTGTATCGTTTTGATATACGTTTTGATTATGTTTTTTCTCTTAGTTTGACCCTCTCAAAAGTCCTGTTCACAAAACACAGATATGCTTGGATTCCAGACATTTTTCTTTCAATTGTTCGACTGTAAAGATGGTGTCAGAACATGATCTTCCAGATTTCCAGACTTGTTGTTCTTCATCTAATATTGCTTACTTTTAACAATAAACATATTTAATATTATTTTTTTAGAATTCCCAAAGATCTAAGAAGCGCCGTTTACTGCACCGTTTTAAAACATGGCGGTGAGGCAGAATGGGACTTCCTGTGGAACAAATACCAAAATTCCAACGTAGCTACAGAGAAAAGTACCATTTTAACCAATCTCGGTTGTACCGAAGAAATATGGATGCTTACAAGATACTTAGAGTGGTCATTGAACGACACCCAGATCAGAAGGCAAGACAGTAGTTCAGTATTCGCCTCTGTTTCGAGAAACAATGTGGGATACTTCATTGCGAAGAATTTCTTCTATAATAATCTTGATAAAGTCTATAAACAGTAAGTATACATTTAAAAAAAATTTAATTGTAGAGTGTCATGAGAAAAAAAATTTAATTGTAGGGTGTCATGAGAAACATTAAATATGGCAATTGTATATTATCTACACATTTTTTCTAATGCTCTGGCAAGAACTATGTGATTTCCTTAGCTTAGTATAAAAAACCCCAGAAATTAGAGTTTGCTATTCGAAGTAGTAAAATTCACATGGAGTATTCAAGTTTCCAGTTTTCCAGCATAACCTCTTGTTGTTACAGAAACTACTCTGTTATGAGATGAGCCTCCAAGCTCTTTGTACGTACCCCAGTCCTATGCTTACCTGTAATCTCATACAGTTTTTGTATAGGTAATTTCCTTTCTGGAGAAGTATTCGATAATTCCCGTTCGGTTCCAGTAATTTATATGGCTGAAATGAGTTTATTGTTCCAAAAGTTTTTGCTTCTGAGTTCTTGTTCTTTTGTTAATTGTTAATTTTCTACGATTTGTTTTTATCTCCACAACTTTTTTATTTCACATTAAGTCGGTATTGAATGATTTGCGTTATTACATCTAGATTATCAATTTTTCTTCTATCATAATGTTGTGCTTTGTTGTTTCAGTTTCTTCCGCAGACATTTCTTACACCGCCATTCATAGTTTTAAAACCTTTTCAAATCTCATCGAAATAATACTTTTTCTCTCTTGGTAATTTTTCGAAAAATGCCTATTTTTCGAGATATTTGCAATTTTTTGTTGAAAAAAAGCCTTAGTGATTTTTGGAATTTTCTTTCTAAAAAACGCAATTCTACATAAAGCTTTATAATCTTATTATAGAATCGAATAAAAAAATTTCATTTCTAAAATATAAATATATATAATTAAGATAGGACTGGGTGTTGGCAAATTCCGTTTTATAACATTGTACATTAGTCTGAAGTGCTTACCTATTTTAATATAACTTTTATTTTAGTTTACTGACCAACAAAAAGACACTGTCGAGATATTTATCGGCTCTGTCAAACCAAATTACAGATGCCAAAGACGAAAAAGAAGTAAGTACATCTTTTATTATATATGGTGCAAATTGATTCATCGGTCTTTTAAAGTATAGACTTATAGACTATCTTATATTACACCGTAAATTCCCGTTTTGCCGTGGGGTTAATTGGCACGGTTGCCGCGGATTAAGAAAAGGGTTCAAGGAAGTCAAATAAAATATTTAGTCTCACCTAAAGCTTTAATTTATAAGTTTCAATGTATACTAACATATTTTAAACTTTTTTAAAGTAGCCCGTCACTTGTTTCTGATTCTTTGATTGAAAAACGTGTTTCTTAATTCGACATTGCAATTTATGCAGCATCAGTTTTTCATGCATCGTCTAAAGGTTAAGGTAAATTCATTTCCAAAGTGCATAAAAAATGAGAAATTTGGAACTCCGAAAATATCGATAGAAGTGAGTTCAATTTTGTTACTTAAGGGTTTTAGGTCGCTGAACACAAATAATATGATAACGACGATGGTCTTTGAGCTACCTGGTGCCCAGGTTGGGTATCGTCTCCTAGAGTTTTATGTTACTTTTATTCGACATCAATCGAAAGTCATTACTCGGGTGGTTCTCGATGTCGCTGAATACGAATATTAAAACATCGATAGTCCTCAAACTACCTGATGCCCAGGATGGACATCATCTCCTGGAGTTTTATGTTAATTTCATTCTAAATTAGTTAACAGTCATTTCTCGAGTTTTCGCGGTCGCTGAACTAGAATATCGACTGTATAGATAGAGTATCCTCTTCAGTTTTTATAATAAAATCTTTACTCCTTTTCAGTTCGACCGTTTCATCAAAGGCAACAAGAAGACCTTCGTCGAAATCAAAAAGGGCGTCGACCAATCCCTAGAAACGGTCAAAATCAACATCCAATGGCAGCACACACACGCCGAGGAAATAGCTAACATCTTGAACAAATATTCCAAATAAAAAAAAACAAGATTCTAGTAAACAAAAATTTATTTGAATGATCGAATTTAGATTTTTTCATACTATTTACAAACAAACCAGCTGTCATTTATTTATTGTTGCCACACTGTAGATGGCGTGCCAAATCGACCTATAATGAGCACTGTAACACATAGCTGATAGCACACTTTATGTTCGACATTTTTGTTAAATTACTTTTAAATTTGAAGCATTTTTAACAATGTTTTTCTAACTTTCTAGACTTTTTTATTTTAATATTTTGACACTAGTAAGAATCTAAGCTTTCTGTGATGGGAATGAAGTCAAGGACGGTATAGGGAAGAGAAAGTAAACAAGTATATCTAACATGTGCAACTTGTATATAAATACAAATATACAATGCAATGGTAATTCGTTTTGGAACTAATTTAATATTAGGTTCATATCTGTACCTAACCTATAAAATAAGCAATTAAGTTAAGTGCAAAATTAAACTTATCTACAGCTTTCTTTTCTTCACAGAATAATCACCTGCTACACTACTTTTTATTTGGTTTACAAACCGATTTGTTATAAAATAAACTCAAAAAGACAACACCAATGTACTCAATTCTGGACAATTCTAGTAAAAAAGACTGAACACAAACATAAACTCATTATTTTGAAGATTTGTAGAAGGTAAGTAAAAAATAATGTATTGGAAATAAAAATACATGCCCTAATATTTAGGACAAGCTGAGAAAAGATCAAATGACTTTAAGTTTAGTTAGTAGTTAGTTAGTATTAGAAAAAGGTGTAAGATGAGTGTAGTAAACAAAATGTTTTCCAAAATTGTGCATTGGTATAGATGAACAAGTTCATATAATGCAGTTTATTTAGAATTTTAAAATAAATTTTTATCGTGAATATTTTGAACTGTACTAAAATGCATTTGTTCGACCGATCTATTTGAAGATTCCAAGTGGCTGATAAGATAATATGATAAGAAGTGACTGGAAATGTCCAATCTGAGACAAGAAAAAGACTATTTAAGATGACAGATAATTAAACATCACAGAAAAATTAAGCACTGACTTAAACTTAACATCGAGTGTCTTATTTCGGTTTTTTTGTTATACTGTTCTTCAACCAACAGCTGAAGATATGTTATAGCAAAGTATCTCAGCTATATAAACGTTAGATAAAAGCTTTTTCTGCATGTGTTGGTACTTTTCAACATTCAAACAGTAAACTTTATCAGCAAATACCTGTACTTCATTCATTATGGTCCATGTGGCACACCTTGCAGTATTATTAAAGAATATGTACTTAAATATGTGTAATTTTTTATTATTTATATATTTTATGATGTCGAACATAATCTATTTACATATAATTAAAGTTAAATAAAAATATACATGTGATTTTTTTTTTGTATAAGAGGAATGTGTGTTTGGGGGAGATGGAAGTAAAACGTGAACTGTGATTTTGTAAGTTTTGTTACTGCTGCTATTAGATAAATAGATAAAGAAGCTTTATAGGCTTTCTGTTTGACAATAAGGCATGTAATTAGGCATTTGATAACGTAAATCATGATCTGCTGATATCTCTACCTCTACTGGAACAAGACTGAAGAGAGCAAAAGACAAAGGAAAAGCAGAAAAAACTTTACAAAAAACAAAATTAATTAAAAAAATTATCTTTATCCCAAAGTGCATAATCAGATACTTGTATATAACTTTAAGCAGTAAAACCATGGACTCTGAAAAAATGTAGAAATAAATAGAAACCTTTATAATGTAGGTTTAAGTTATTTTTTCAGTACAGTAAGTCATGACACAGAAGAATCATATTTAATTCAGCAACGTATCCGAATAAACTTTCTTACTAAAGCAAATTTTGTTTATATAAACCCTCCTAGAAAAGAAACAAAACATAGTTGTCTCAATTGCCAATATATCTTCCAACTAATAGCTCTAAATTGGAGGACCAACATTTCATAGGCGCATCCACCAATTTTACACACCAAAAGTAAAAGAAAAACAAATGTGATTCAATGTGACACAAATGTCAATCTTTGTAAAAGATTTCCATTATCATTGAATTACTTGGTGGAGGACTTTCATTTGATTGATAACTTGAACAGTGACAATTAAATAGGTCCATTCTACCATGGTATAACAAAGTTTCTTTGATTTTTTTAAATATAATGAAGATTGTAGCAAATACGATTAGAACCAATAAATGACTATCTAGTCGAAATGCATTTCTTTATAAAATCTAATGGAAGAATATATTAATGAAAAAATGGGACAATCTTTATTTAAGAAAAACTAATGTCAGAAGATATGATACGAAAAACAACTAACAATCAACCTAACATTGTGTAGGAGGGATATTTTGGATATAGGAACCTTACATTGTGTTGGAGGGATATTTTGGATATAGGAAAAGCATCAAGTAAATACCCAGTTACCTTTTTCACCTTACAAAATCACTTATCATACGAATTAGAGGACTGTAATCAGTCTCTAACGCTTAGATGTAGAGTGAGTAGTTAAAAAACGAATTTTTCAAAGCACTACTAAAATCCAAGTACAAACATATCCAAATTTCGAAAACAAAATTGAAACAATTCTTAAAAATCTAATCAACAAAATGATTACATCTATAAATTTTTAATATAATTTGATGGTGGATATGCTGTGATAAAATGTATTTTTAGGTAGTTCTTTAGTTTTTCTTGGTAGTATATTAGGTAATGATCATTGTTATTTTCAAATGGGACATATACATAGTAACTAATTTTGTTGCTATTTTTGACATAAAATATGTCTTACATTATTACGGTAGGAAAATACCGAACACATTGCCAACAATACATTGTTGGCAATGTTTTGCTCTATTTAATTTGGGACATTTTTTCATTCCAGAATAATCGAAAATTGGCTGAAATCTGGGTCTTTAAAAAGAAAATGTAGTGAAGTCACTGAAGCATCTGAATGAACTGATTGAGTGACAACTAGCAGAGATGGAGAAGATGCAAATGTCCACAAGATCCATTCGAGTCCAGCTCATCCAAGCTGTTCTCCCGAAATTCGTGGAAAGTAGGTTCCTTACCAAAAAGAAATTCGGGGAAAAATAAGAAAGTATGATTCTAGCTATCTCACGTTATATGACTATTCAGGCAGGGTCATGCATCATGGAAAGAGTCTGCAAAAATGAAAACGAAAACGCCACTGAAGCATCATTTATTGTTGGTTTGCACATTGCAAAAGCTGGAACCACCATTGCCAAGGAATTGATTAAACTTTGCGTGAAGGATGTCTTACAATGTATGTTAGGTCCAGATATGACCCACGAAGATTGATAATGTGGATTGGTAATGCAGATGTCAAACAGCACTATAAGTAAGAGAATTCACACTATTTCAGACTTTGTAGAAAGAGAGCTTATAAATAGATTAAATACTTGTGAATTCTTCAGTTTACAACTTGATGAAAGTAACGACGTTGCTGGACTTGCTGTTCTGCTTGTGTTTGTACACAAGGTTTCCATTTGGGATGAAAATAGAAGAACTCCTTATGTGTAAAGAGTTTATACGTTATGCCACTGGTAAAGACATTTTCAAGGCTATCCACGAGTATATAAGAAAAAATTATATAGAGTGGAGTAAATATGTGGATATTTGCAGTGATGGAGCGGCTGCAATGGTTCGTAAAATTAGAGGGGTGGTATCTAGAATAAAAGTAGTGGCAGAAAATGCCTCCAGCAGTCATTTTATCTTACATCGCCAATCTTTGGCAACTAGAAAGATGCCGCAAGATTTGAAAGACGTATTGGATGGTTCTGTGAAAATAATTAACCATGTGAAGAGTTCTGGATGCAGGTATATTCATAAAATAATGTTGCTGGCAAGGTTGCAGTGAAAAAACTTGTTCACATCGACTTATCTCTGTGAGTCTCCTTTCTCCGCATATGCTTACATTAAAAACAAATACAGAAGCAAATTTCAAGCAACAAGGGATTTAAGGTCAAACTTACAAAGATTCACATAATTATAAGGATTATAATGAAAACGTCATCGAAACAGTTTCATTCATCACATTAAGTATTGAATATCAAATGTACTGTATTTTATTGATCTGAAATAAAGTTTATATTGAAATCAAATGAGCCTAAGAATTGTATTTTTTTCATTTTTTGTCGATTCCCAAATCGCATCAAGGGTTGGTGTGCCTCGAAATATTTTTAGCCCTACAAGGGTGCCGCGACTTAAAAATTTTGAGAACCACTCTATAAGGATCCCTTATTTATACATGAACATACCACCATTCCTGTAATAGTCCCAAAATTCAAACCAAGAACAAGTCTCAATACGAGAGAAAACGCTTTAAACCCACACCCAACATACAAATCAGCAGTAATCTGTATTTTCCTTAAATCGAGAACAGATTATCTAAACACATTTAGTTTTACAAAGCTCAAAAATATCTTATTTATGAAAACTGCAATGATCTTTACCTATTTTAAGTTATTAATTGACAAAAGTTGTTTGAACACTTTTGTAGACCATAGTTTTTCAAATTGAAAACGTGAGCTGGACAAAAAACTGAAGAACTGTGTAACACTATCAATGCAATAAGTGGTGATCCAAAAATGCGTTATGTTCAAAATGTTTCATCGAAGGTGAGTATATACGTTAATATCAATTAAAAATATGTTAACAGGTATTGTATACATACATATATTTTACATATGCCCAGTTTTTTTATTTTTGTAAACGCTAGAACTTTTTATACATTTTTTAAAGTCTATAGCAACTAGAAACAATATTTATTTAATTTATTCACCCTGAATAGCTAATACACTTTTTTTAAAACTTTTTTCACATTCAAGCAGTAATGTTGAGACCAATATGGTCTATTTAATTGAACAAAACACAAGTAAACCTTTAAATTTACAAAAAATAACATCAATTGGCCGACGAACTTGACATCTAGATCTTGTAATATTATATGACATTGATGACAGCGCGAATG